TTGTAGTCCAAAGGGATTGAGCAAGATTGGTAGCCGTGTTGGTAGGCATCTCATGGTGGATCAGAACACAAAGAGGAAGGTTGGATTGAGGTTTGCTAGTTTATTGGTAAAAGTAGGAATGGATATTAACCTACCAGATTCTGTGGTATTTAGGAATGAGAAGGGTTGCCTTATGAAGCAGAAGGTCCTATATGATTGGAGGCCCACCTTGTGCAAGTTGTCTTCAATATGGGCAAGATGTTACAGATTGTAGAAAGAAGAAGGTCAAAACTGTCCCTCATCCACAAGGGAACCAACATGTTGCACCACAAGAGCAACTAGGTATACCCCCAAATGTGGCTCAACAAGAGAAGCATGGGACAGGGATGGTGCAAGACACTGGACCAACTGAGGAAAAACAACATATTCATAAAGACAAATGAACTCAACCACTAGGGCAGCCAACAATAAGGACTCAGAAAGGGCAAGCAAATACTGGTTGGGTCACACCTATGAGAGAAGCAAGGAATGAGTCTAAAGTACAGCCAATGGAAGGGAGCAACTCCTTTCAAGTATTACAAAAACCAAATGTTAGCAAAGGCCCAAATACTGCACATGGGAGAACTGAGAGTAGTCTAGCTATTCCCACATCTCGGAATGGTTAGGATCCCATATTGGAATGTGAGGGGGCTTATGGCCCAAATAAGCAGAAGGAGATTCAACTCCTCTGCAATAATAAAAATATAGGATTTGTGAAATTGCTGGAAATAAAAGTAAAGAGTAATAAGATCGAGCGCATAGTTAATGAGATGTTTGGAGGGTAGAATTATATCACTAATCTTGAGGCACACTATAATGGGAGAGTGATAATTGTTTGGAGGACAGACTACAATAATGTAGTACCTATCTCTATTGATGCTCCGGTAGTGACATGTGAGGTGTATCATAATCCTTCACAGGTTACTTGTATGATTTCTTTTGTGTATGCTTTTAATACAAAAGAGGAAAGAAGACAACTATGGGATGAATTAGTAGCACATACTGTAAAGAGTACTATACCATGGCTAGTGGTTGGTGACCTCAATTCAGTGCTAAATAATGATAATAGGCTTGGAGAAAATCCTGTTACCTGGGAAGAACTTATAGATTTCCAGACATGTATTGATACATGTGGTCTGATGGAGTTAGCTCACAATGGTTAGAGGCATACTTGGAATAATAAAGGTTCTAATTAAAGAATATATTCTAAGATAGATTGATGTTCATAAATAATGAATGGCTTCACACTATGCATGCATGTAAGGCTATGTACTTGGTTGAGTGTACTGATGATAATTGCTCTACCTAAGCCACCTTTCAAGACAATATTGTGAAACCTAGAAGAGCCTTCAAGTATTCTAATATTTGGTCTAAACACCCTCAATTCATGAGGATGATTGAAACATGATGGGATGCTCACATAATTGATTGTAAGATGCTACAAGTAGTAAGATAATTGAAAATGCTTAAGAAAGAATTAAGAAGACTAAAGTCACAACACTTCGGGAAATTGTATCTGAATCAAATGAGGATAGAGTGGCATTATAGTGTGCACATGAACAACTTCATCTAGACCTTGGTAACCAAATACTTTAACAACCGGAAAAGGAGTAATAACAGAAATTAAGACATTCATCATACTTGGCTGAGATGTACCTGCAACACAGAAGTAAAGCCAATTAGATCAGACTTGGAGTTGATAACACCATGTATTTTTATTCTGTCACATAGCATAGTAAATTGAAGCATGTTATTACTCAGTTGAAAGAAAACCAAGGCATCTGGCAAACCGAACAAATACACATTGCTAGATTGTTTGTCCAGTATTATGAGGACCTCCTACGGTAAAATGTGAGAATAGGGTCAGTGCTTTTAGAGGTTTTTTGTAAAGCAAAAAAGCAGTCTATTAGAAAAGTTATGGAGGTATTGGATCATTTCACAAAAGTCACTGGTATGATAGCAAATATGAAAAAATCAAATATCTTTATTGCAAGGGTGGATGAACATACTAAGAAGAATCTACTAAACACCACAAGGTTCTCAATAGGGACCTTTTCTATTAGATACCTGGGATTACCACTCTCTTCAAAAAAGTAGAGTAAGTTGGAGTGTCACCAACTGACTGACAAGATCACTTAAAGGATTAAGAATAGTTATGCTAAACAACTTTTCTATACTGGGAGTTTACAAATTATTAATGCAATATTATTTTCTATACATAACTTCTGGGGCTATTTTTATTCTTCTACAAAATGTGCTAAAAGAAGTTGACAAACTATGCATGGAGTATTTATTGGGGGGTGGGGGGTGTGGTGGGGGGTGTGGTGGGGGGGTGTGTTATTGAGGAGAAGCCCTCACTAGTTTCTTGGGTCAAAGTGTGTGTTCCAACTTCTAACAAAATATGGGGGATTAAACATAAAAGGCTGTAGAACTTGGAATGTTGCATCAGTTGGCAAACTATTATGGCAACTATCAGAGAAGCAAGATTCTCTGTGGTTTAAATGGATCCATGGATTATATATGAAGAATGATAATAACATTTGGATGGATAAATCTCCTACAGACTGCAGTTGATATTGAAAGAAACTTAATAAATTGCAAAATGATATGATCAATTGGTACTCTAATGGCAGGTATACTCGACTTCTGGAGGAAGACTCTATTACCAGAAGTTATAATATACTAAAGGACACTCATACTAGATGAAGGATAAATGACTTAGTTTAAACTGCAATAGCTCAGCCAAAACATAGATTTACTCTTTGGCTAGTTGTGCAAAAAAGTTTATCAACAAAGGAGAGGCTCAAACACTTAAATATTCATGTTGATACTGTTGAATGCTGCCTATGTACAGTACATACTGCACTTGAATATTCATGTCGATACTGCTGAATGTTGCCTATGTACTATACATACCGCAGAAATATCCCTCCATCTGTTTGCAGAATGTGCGTGGACTAAACAACTAACAAATGAGCTATCTAGCTGGTTGAGCATTCAACTTCAATCTGCAAAAGTGTAGATGGTTATAGAAAGGGTCAAAAGAAAGCTCCAGAAGCAATTCAAAAAAGCAAATTGTGGCTGCTATATAGGGAGAAATCATCTACCATACTTGAGGGCAAGAAACTGGACAATTTTCAAAAACTAGAGCGTACATATTGAGAAAGGTTTTACATATATTTAAAGATTAGATCTTCTTATGCTGACTAGAGAAGCTAGTAGTTGTTATAGAGTATAGACTGATCCAAAGACTTCTTTGTAATTAGTTTATATGATGAAGGCCAAAGTTTTCTTCACATCAATCTTTCTAAAAGGGATATGTAAGATTAGGTGCTCTGTTGGTGTACTTGTTACTTATGTTTGTTGGTATGGTAATATTCGTAGTTGTTAAAAAAAACTAAGAGGTAATTTGGAGCTAATATTACCTATGTAATTACAAAAAAAGGCTTGTTTTTTTGTTCTTGATCTCTAAAAGAGTTTCAATATAAATATAACATTAATTATACATGGAGGATAATCTTTAATACTCTCCCCCTCCCCNATATGGGGGATTGAACATAAAAGGCTGTAAACTTGGAATGGTACATCAGGTGACAAACTATTGTGGCAACTATCAGAGAAGCAAGATTCTATGTGGGTTAAATGGGTCCATGGATTATATATGAAGAATGATAATAACATTTGGATGCATAAACCTCCTACTGACTGCAGTTGATATTGGAAGAAACTTAATAAATTGCAAAATGATATGATTAACTGGTACTCTAATGTCAGGTACACTCTGACTTCTGTAGGAAGGTACTCTACTATCAGAAGTCATAATATACTAAAGGGCACTTATACTAGATGGAGGATAAATGACTTAGTTTAAACTGCAATAGGTCAGCCAAACATAGATTTATTCTTTGGCTAGCTGCGCAGAAAAGGTTATTAACAAAGGAGAGGCTCAGACACTTGAATATTCATTTTGATACTGCTGAATGCTACCTATGTACTGCACATACTGCAGAAACATCCCTCCATCTGTTTGCAGAATGTGCATGGACTAAACAGCTAAGAAATAAGCTATCTAGCTGGTTGAGCATTCAACTTAAAGTTGCGGAAGTGCATATGGTTATGGAAAGAATCATAAGGAAGCACTGGAAGCAATTCAAAAAAGAAAATTATGGCTGCTGCATAGGGAGCAATCATCTATCATACTTGAGGGCAAGGAACTAGACAATTTACAAAAACGAGAGTGTACATATTGAGATAGTTTTGACATAGATTAAAAAGGAAATTGCAGAAAAATTAGATCTTCTTATGGTGACTAGGAAAGCTAGTAGTTGTAATAGGCAGATCCAAAAACTTCTTTGTAATTAGTTTTTATGGTGGAGGCCTAAGTTTATTCACGACAATCTTTCTACAAGAGGAGGTGTGAGATTAGGTGCTCTGTAGGTGTATTTGTTGCTTATGTTTGTTGGTATGGTAATATTCGCAGTTGTTACAAACAAACATTAAATAAATAAAAATATTGAGGGGTAATTTTGAGCTAATATTACCCATGTAGTTACAAAAAAGGCTTATTCTTTGTTCTTGATTTCTAGAGGAGTTTCACTCTAACAACAACAACGACATAGTGAAATTCCACTAGTAGGGTTCGGGGAGGGTAGTGTGTACTCATACCTTACCCCTACCCCGAAAGGGTAGAGAGGCTATTTTCGATAGACCCTCGGCTCAAGAAGACGAAAAGAGGCAATATATCAGTACCATCAATACAAACCAAAGAACAACATAACATCATCACAAGAACCAGAAAATAGATGAAAAGTAAAATAATAACCAATAGATAAAGCCCAACTCTAAGAGGAACGAAAGAGTAGTGTGAACTCAACATTAACCACTAGCAGTCTAAGACTAAATTCTAACAGACTAGCCTCACTCTGGTGCGCCGTAAAAATATTCACAACTAACTTCTAACCAACAACCTTAATTCTTGACCTCTACAACTTCCTGTCTAGGGCCATGTCCTCGAAAATCTGAAGCCACGCTATGTCCTGCCTAATCGCCTCTCCCCAATAATTCTTAGGCCGCCCTCTACCTCTTCTCGTACCCACTAAATCCAGCCACTCACACCTCCTTACCGGGTCATCTGGGCTACTCCCCTGAACGTGCTCGAACCATCTAAGCTTTGTTTCCCGCAGCTTGTCATCCATGGGGGCCACACCCACCTTCTCCCGAATATCTTCATTCCTTATCTTATCTATCTTAGTGTGTACACACATTCACCTCAACATCCTCATTTCTGCTATATTCATCTTCTGGATATGTGAGTTCTTAACTGGCCAACACTCAGCCTCATACAATATGGTCGGTCTAACCACCGCTTTATAAAACTTACCTTTTAGTATCAGTGGTACTTTCTTGTCACACAGGACTCTAGACGTTAACCTCCACTCCATCCACCCCACCCCTATACGGTGTGTGACATCTTCATCGATCTCACCATCCCCATGTATAACCGACCCAAGGTACTTGAAACTACCCCTCTTGGGGATGACCTGTGATTCAAGCCTCACGTCCACTCCCGCTTCCGTCGGCTCGATGCTGAACTTACACTCTAGGTATTCCATTTTAGTCCTGCTCAACTTGAAACTCTTAGACTCAAGGACCTATCTCCAAACCTCCAGCCTCTCATTGACGTCGCCTAGCGTCTCATCAATTAGAACTATGTCGTCAACAAATAACATACACCATGTCACCCTTGGATGTGTGTCAATGCATCCATCACCGGGTAAAATAGGAATGGGCTGAGCGCATACCCTTGGTGTAACCCCATAACAACCAGAAAATGCTCCGAATCACCTCCCACTATCCTAACCCAAGTCTTAGCTCCATCATACATGTCCTTAATCACCCTAATGTAAGCAACCAACACACCTTTTGCCTCCAGACATCTCCATAGAACCTCTCTAGGAACCTTGTCATACACTTTCTCCAGATCAATAAACATTATGTGCAGATCCTTCTTTCTATCCCTGTACTGTTCCACCAACCTCCTAATAAGGTGGATATCTTCCGTGGTAGATCGCCCCTGCATGAACTCAAACTGGTTGTCTAAAATAGACACCGTCCTCCTCACCCTCATTTCTACCACCCTCTCCCAAACTTTCATGATATGACTCAGTAATTTGATATAGAGGTGTCAATGGTTCGGTTCAGCCAGTTATTTTATAAAATTTATACCGTACCAATTTTTCGGTTATTCTACTATGTATTACCATAATTAGACTTTTCAAAACCGTCCCAATTATGTTGGTTTCTCTTCGGTATTCGTACGGTTTGGTTAATTTTCGGTAATTATTTTAAACGTCATGTAAAAGTCACTAGTAGGAGTAGAATAAAATAACATACGTACTTTTATAGAACTTAGCAAAAATCTCTAGATATTTTTACAATTTAAAAGGCGATGAATTAAAAAAAATAAAAGATGACTAGAGTATATATCCATCAACTATTCTACAACATCGTAAAAGAAACTAAGCAAATACAAAAAAAATATTAATCACACAAGTGGAAAGATATTAACCAAGTTGAGATTCAAGAATAAAATCTATAGAAGATAAAACTTTCAGAAAGATAAATCTAAATCAAATGAATGAAAACATATTCAATACATTGTAGTTTGCTACACATAATAACTACAATACCTTGTGTCTTACTAGTGAATATGCTGGAAATAATCTAGTTTCAATAGAAGTAGCATAATAGGTTTGGGAATTAGGATTTTGAGTTTAATTACTTGTTGGCTTGTAACAGTTTCATAATTCCAAGGCCCAAGAAAAAATTTAATGCTTTATTATTTTTAAACTTAATATATAAATATATTTTTCACATTGTAAATTTATTCGGCACGGTTCGTATTTTTTCGGTTTATTTTGATAAAATAAAAAACCTACCCTAATTATTGGTACAATTATAGATTTATATAAAAAACTACGATTTTATTAAAATAAACCTAAAAATCGGTTCGGTATGGTACTATTCGGTCGATTTAGTCGGTTTTTAAATATCCATTGACACCCTTAATTTGAAACCCTTATAGTTGTTACATCTCTGGATATCACCTTTGTTCTTGTACAACGGAACCACCGTACACCATCTCCACTCCTCCGACATCCTCTTCGTCTTGAAAATAATAGTAAATAGCCCAGTCAGCCACTCCAAGCCTACTCTACCCACACACCTCCAAAATTTTACTGAAATTTCGTCTGGTCCTGTAGCTCTTCCCCTACTCATCTTACACATAGCCTCCACGACCTCCTCAACCTTGATTCACCTACAATACATAAAGTCACGGTGACTCTCGGAATGCCCCAATTCAAATAGCAAAATATCTCGATCCCCTTATTCATTAAGAAGTTTATGAAAGTAGGTCTGCCATCTCCACTTAATCTGGTCCTCCTCTATCAAAACTCTACCGTGCTCGTATTTAATGCAGCTCACTTGGTCCACATCCCTCACCTTCCTCTCCCTCGCCTTGGCCAGCCGGAATAACATCTTCTCCCCGCCTTTGTCCCCCACTTCCTTGTACAGACGAGCAAAAGCCACAGTCTTGGCCTCAGTGACCGCCAGCTTCGCCTCCTTCCTCCTTATCATAATACTGACTTCCATTACCAAGAGCCTATGTTGCGTCGCGAGGGTCTCACCCGGGATAACCTTGCTATCATGACCCAAAATCTACTATAGGACGTGATGGTGCCTAACGCCACCGTCAGGCAATCCAACGGTGATTGATCAATTTAATTACTTATTTTATTACTTTTGAAATCATAAATTTTAATAAGGAAGGAAATTTACACTTTTAAATCCATGGGAACGTACAAAAATTATAGTTTATAAGAGAAATGAAATGCGATGATAATATACAGAACCGTAAACATCAACTAGTATATCCCAAAACCTAATGTCACAAGTGCATGAGCATTTACTAGAGAATACAACAACAATAATACAACATCTGTCTGGAATGTAAATAAGACAGAATAAAGTAAATGGTACGATGAAGACTCTTTGGGATGCGATGCATAGCCTGGAATGCAGCTCACAATAAAGTCTCCTCAGCAGCTGCGCCTACGCGTCAAGATGACCACCAAATGAACCTGTCGGATCCTGCATATTTAGTGCAGAAGTGCAGCATGAGCACGTAAATCAACGTGTACCCAATAAGTATCTAGCCTAACTCTGGAGAAGTAGTGACGAGGGGTCGACATCGACACTTACTAGTGCTCTAATAAATCAATATGGTAAATTATAAACAAATAAGAAGCACAACAATAGTAGTGAGGTAAATCTGTATTTAACACAATCTCCAAAAATTTCTTTAAACGATATCAATTTCTCATCTCGTATTCTATCTCAACAGCTCAGAAAATACCTAGTGCCAATATCAAATAAATAAGAAATACCATATAAAATGCAAGGCATCAGTGGAAGGAAAGTCTCATGAATATTCGGACTGCTAGCGATATAACGCACGATTAAGCCGAAGTTGTACGACCAGATTTCAGAAAGAATATGATACTGCCGAGGCGATCGGCCTGATCCCATCACAACGTGTACATTGTGTCACGCCCCAAAACCGAGGAGTGCGACCGACGCTCAACCGAGTGAACCCGACCAAGCAAGCATGTTAGATTCCTTCTATCCAAACTCATTCATGAATAAAGAAAATATATGTTTTCCTTAATTAAACAATAAAGTGGTCATGCCGCCTCACCCCAATGTATGCGAGTGGAGGTGTATCACAATCACAATCTCTACACAACTTGTCACTACATCTCAAACGTGCCTAAAATTGCCAATCGCTTAAATTAATTATTAAGGAAATGAGCTAATTAATTAGTAACAAAATCTGATTTTTTTTTTTTATTAGAATGACACTTTAAAGCTTGGTCCAACTTGTTATTATTATTATAATATTATTATTTTTTTAAAGAAAAAGAAAATAGGCAGCTATGGAATTATATTGATGTTGGGATGTTGCTATTAAAGAAA